GTGCAGGAGGGAGGGAGTGTTGTACAAAGCGGCTGATCAAATTAAAAGAAGTAGGACTTTTGTCAGTACTGAATTGTAATAGAGGTTTTGTATTTTTCTATAAAGAAAACTTTTTTATTTTTACAATATTGAGAGCCTGAAATTCCAGCCTGAGACAGAGCTCTCTTTTAGTGGCACATGGTTGCTTTCACAATGTTGCACATGATTGAGCATTATTTGCAAAGTGAATTTTCCCTTTTGCTTCACCTCGTTCACTAAGAAAGGGGAAAAATGACTTTTCATGGTGAACATGCTACTCCTTTATTAGATCAATGCCAATACTCTCATGATTGGTCTTCAAGTCTTCTGTTAGTTCAGGCTTTTAGATATTTACACAGGGAATAAAACCACATGGCCGAGACAGTGGCAGCATTTATATTTCTGTCATGACCGATTTCCTTTATGTCTGCTGCACAAATGGTTTTCTATAGCCCTAAATGTTACTATAGTTTAATGATGATGGATTTATTCTTTTATCATTATCTTATTTATTGTATCAACACCTAGGTTTTCAGCCTAGGGCAGAGTTACCCTTTTTATGGACTATGTTTGCGTTCAAGAAGTTTCACTGCAGTCAACTTTTTCTTTTCACAAGTAAATTTTTATTGTGATAAGAAGGGGGCAACGGAAGTGGGCAGAGAGGGGGCGGGGCCTCAGGGGTGAGAGAGCCAGTTATTACTAGTAAGGGTATCCTATGAGTCCGTGCCCTTAGATGCCAGGCTGTCCAAGTTTTCAGGTACTGAGGCATGGTGTCTCTGTCATTAGGCGATTCATTCTTCCATTTTTGCCACGGTGTCTACTTGATTTAGCCACTCTCTGACTGTCGGTGGATGTGTCGCCTTCCAGTGTCTGGGGATCATGGTTTTGGCTGCATTTAGCAGGTGTATTGTCGGAGATTTCTTGCTGATGTGGTAGGAGACATCAAAGTGGTATAGTGAGAGGGAGACTGCAGTGAATTCCAATGTGACACCAGTTATGACCCTTATGAGTGAATGTATTTCTGACCAAAAGGAGGATATGAGGGGGCACGTACACCAGATGTGGAGGAGCGTGCCTATTTCTTGTGAGCATCGCCAGCAGGTGTTAGGCGTGTTCAAAAAGATGCGGTGAAGTATCGCAAGGGTTTTGTACCACCTTGACCTCAATTTGTAATTGGTTTCCTGAATCTGTACATTCAAAGAGCCTTTCAGCAAAAGTACGTCCATGCTCTCCCAGTTTTGTGGGGTGAGGGTGGTAGATAAATCTTCTTCTTCCCAGGCCTTAGTAGAGAGGGTGGATGGTAGTGTGGAGGATTCCGACAATAAGGAGTAGGTTTCCGATACTGTGTGTGCAATCCTACCAGAAGATGTGCAAAGCTTCTCAAGGGGGTAAGAGGGCGTGTAAAGTGTTGCTTAACAGTCAACTTTTATGTTTTTTTGTTTTTTTGTTTTTTTTTTTAAGGTGGTGAAGAGAAGCAATAAACCGCATGATGGAACTAAAACTTTGTCAAGATATAAACGAGAATGGATTATTCCACCAGTTTCAATTATAGAAGAACAGGACAATTCTTACAAAAATCCCATTGCAAGGGTAAGCATGCTTACGCTGTACAATGCAAATCAATATTCCATATCCAGCTTGCATGATTGAACACAGTGTTTCCCTAACCTGCCCCCAAGTCTTCCTTTTTCGTTCACACTTTTCGTACATCCCCACAGGCAATGAAGCTGCACTCCACATATGTTGGAGAATGACTTATGTGGGGAAGCACTGCAGATCCTGCACTGTAAAGCTAGCCATATACACATAGAATTCTCGGTGAGAAATGTAATGGATTACCCCATCCATGCTAAACAGTGCGACTACCTGAACAGTTCTTGCTTCTGATTGGATGGCCAACATTTTTTCACCTGGTTTAGTGAGGTTTTTTTCATTTGAAGTTTTCCAAGCCGGTGAAGCTGACAGAGTCACCCATGGCTGGAATTTTGCCCGATTCAGCAGGAACTGACCACAATTCGAGCCATGTATGGTCAAGATTACTGGGACTTTAGTACAGGTTTGAGAAACGTTTGTGTTTTTAAGTATTCAAGTTTTAACTAAACAGTTCTGCCAACTATTTTCTTCATAGGCTTTTTTGTATACAGCTTTTTTTTCTGATACTCAAGCACTGTGTTGGCCCGATTCCGATGCTAGCATCGGTATCGGGACATCCCTAGTTTTAACAGTACTCGGTCATAAATCTCTTGCATGCCTTGTTGTCCCATATGTGTTGTTCTCTGCTATGTCTGTTGTCTTACTAATTCTTCTTCTTTTTTTATATACTTCATACTAGATCCAATCTGATATCAAAATTGACCCAAGAAAGAGAATTCGCTACATCATAGTTGGTAGAGGGGTGACCGAACCACCGATGGGCTTATTCATTATCGACGAAAGGACAGGAGACATAAATGTAACTGGAATTGTGGACAGAGAAGAAATTGACATGTTCTTTGTAAGTTTTTCTCCGTTTTTGTGATAGCTTTTTATAGACTTTAACTCCTCGAATTCCTGCACTCTGCAAGATGTCAACTTTAATCACATTCATCACATATTTGGTAATTAAATACTTGTATGTAAGCTGCCTTTTTCAGTACAGGTAGATTTTTTGTCTATAATATAACCATGCCCTAAACAATATCCTAAAGCAGTGTGTTAATACGTAAGTGCGATACAGTATGATTATACTTTATAAATGTGTAAAATATAATCTAAGAGACCTTATACTGTCCTTTTTTGAAATGTTGAATATATTTGTTGGGTAGTAGGAGATAAAGAGAGGTTTCATTTGAATAAAGCATGTGCCAGAATCTCCAGCTTGAAATCAACGATTCATTACACAATCATTTTCTTTTTTTCCCAGTTAAAAGGTTATGCCAAGGATGAAACTGGAAAAGATGTGGAGCCTCCTATAGATCTTCGAGTTAGTGTTGAGGATATTAATGATAACAGTCCAGTATTTACCAGTGAAGTGTTTGTTTGTTCGGTTGAAGAGATGTCTGCTCCAAGTAAGTGTATTCTTTTAAATAACAGCTATAAAAGAAGCCCCCCTCCAAAATGGATTACTTCTTTTTGAGTGGTGGGGTAGATTTTGATCCCTCCTTGACTCCATGTTTTTACTGCTGTCTGGGAGAATGCCGGGGGAGTCTTATCTGTACATTTCTATATGGTAGAGGGCATAATTACAACTTTTCCTACATCTTTCCAGGGGATTCTGCACAAAATTACGCTGAGAATATCCTTAGGCTGATGGCAGCATAGCTTGTTGAACATGTCCTTTTCCAGCCTTATCATGGTGGGATGGGGAGCTCTCCATACCAGAGTCTCAGACCTCTTGGTGGGGACCAAACATGTCTTTCCTGCTTGCCTTGTCATACAAAAATAGAGAACTTTTACACATTGTGTTCCTTTAGTAATATTATTGAACATGGAAAAAATATAAATAAATGGCATCTTTTTTATAAGCCTACAGTAGATTTTAAGTATTTTTTTTTTTTTTATATAAACTGAAAATTACAAATTATATACATTACATATTTATCAAATTTCAGATTACATTTAATGCAGCAATACACATGTCTGCACATTTTTAATATATTTATTTAATAATGGCACCTGATTGGCTCATAATATGACAACAATAATATCCGGATGGAAATATTGAACCTGATCTCCAGCAACTTAAATACCCCATTAAAAAAACAAGTATTAAGGAAATCTTTTCTGAGAGAAGCAATACCTCACTGCTTACCTCTTCTGTAAATACCCGTTGCCTGGCTGTCATGCTGACTGTCTTTTTTTCAATGCTTTGTGTCCCTAACACAAAACAAGAATGGAGATTTAAAGGAGAACTATGGGGTCAGGGCTTTTCCCCATGGTTCTCCTAAGGCTGGGTTCACACCTAGGCGTATAGAATATGCGCGTTTTGTGCTGCGCATTTTTAACGTGATTCGCGGTTTAAAAAACGCGCAACAAATTTGTTGCGCGTTTCCGAGGGCTACCTAGCTGTAGCCCAATGGATACGCGTGGCAAATACGCCCCAAAGAAGCTCCTGTACTTCCATAGGCAATCATTGGTTTTTACATGTTGAGCGTTTTACAGAGCGTAGGAACGCGCTGTAAAACGCCCAGGTGTGAACCAGGCCTAAGGGTAACGGGAGGACACAAACTAGCATCCTCCCGCCACCCAAAGCTCAGTATACCACGAGATGGTATGTGTTCGCTCACTTCCCGGTCTATTGAGCCGACGTGTGACAGTTTCATTCTCACAGGTCGGCTAGAACTATGAGGCTTTTCACTCTCCTCATAGCTCTACTTTTTAAGGACTTGTGACTTTGCTGATCGACATACTTGCTCTGGGTAAGTGAATCAAAGTATTGGAGCCACTGGGTCAGCGTAATAGCCAGTCAAATAGCACTTTAAGAGTAGGGTCAGCAATGGCGGCCCACAAATTTCAAAAGGTTTACTTCATAGGTTTTGTTCTGCTCGGCCTTATTTTTTTACACCTAGCACAGTACATAGTCAAGAATGTGATGCCACTTTCTGTGTTACAGTTAAAAAGGATATAGTAGTGTTTTCTCTCTCTCATCTTACTGATTTGCCGCTGTTGAGTCAAGAACACATTGACAAGGTCATTGCTGTGATCGCCCTCCTGTAAGGACGTTCCCCTTTGTGTACTGGCAATACTGGGAAATACAGGACAGCGTTATTGGCAGATTACAAAAAAATCTAAATATAAAAATGTATTTTATTTCAGGTTTTGTTATTGAAGGTAATGGAAATATTGTTTTCATAACAGATCGGTTTGCTGTAACATTTTCCTGGAATTGAGCTTTGATGTGCATCCTACACATATACATTGCTGTGCAGTATGGACAGTTATTCCATCTGTAGTGGTTTTGTTCCCACATGTAAAAGCGCCCATAAAAAGATATAAAATGTATAGGAAAGCAATGCTAGTATATACTATTTTGTAGTAATATCTTTTTTTTTTTTTCTTTACTCAGATACGCTTGTTATGGTTCTAAATGCCACAGATGCAGATAAGGCCAATACCGTAAATACCAAGCTTGCCTACAGAATCATTTCTCAAGAGCCAGGAGCCAAATTCCTTTTCATGTTGACAAAGGATGGCCAAATTCTCACAACAGCAGGAATGCTTGACAGAGAGGTAATGGGCATAGATGCTTAAAGTATTTCTGTAGCAAACTGCTAAATATACACTTTACATACAGATTTGTAAATGTTTTTTCCTGCCAAAGGTTTTGTAATTCTGCTCATTTGGTCTTGGGATCAATGCATTGTGTCCAAAGAATATAGCTAGGTCCTAGACCTCACTAAACCCCAACTTGTGATTGGAAAGTGAGAGAGCAGCAGTGCACTGCTATGGTAATTTTCAGTTACAGCACTAGTAGAGGGCTCATTGGTTGAGAGTGCTTCTCCACTTTTGCAGTAACCGGCTACAAAAGCTTAGTTTCATCACAAAATAAATTTATTCTTAATGAATAACTGGATTAAATGTTGTTGTTCAGCTTTATTGGCATATTTTATCCTAGCCAATAGAACCATAGGAGTATTGAGACCAGTTTAGGTCTAGGATTTTTCGCCTATATTTATGTTTCTTGGGGCCTAAGGTAGCAGAATCTTTTCACATGAAGTCCTTGGTCTGCCTGCCTGTGGTAATGACATATGGATCTCCCGTCACTGCTGGATTTGTTGGTTTACATCAAGAGTTAAACGTTGGCCCTTCTGATCATTGGAGCCCCGCCTAGGTGATGTAAGACCCAGCCCAGCCATAGCTGAAATCTAAAGTTTGCGGTGGATTTGTTAGTAGAGCCAAGCCCGCTCTGTACAACTTATTTTTTTTTGTATTACTAACTATATACATAAGCCAAAATGTGTAGGATTTCTATACTAACTATACATTCATATGGCTAGAACTGAAGATCCAGCTATCTGGTGTTCCTAAACCATTTCCAATACTGATGACATAACTACAGTTCAGTTTCCAAAGACAATCCAAATTTCTTTGCAAAATACATAACTGTTAATGGGTTGGCAATTGCTGCAACAGTTATGTGTGATGAAAATGTCTTAATATTAGGGACTGTATGTGACGACTCTTCCGTGACCAGCATACCATAGCTTCATTAATGTCTGCTTCTTAAATGCTATTTTCCTAGTTCTCTGGCTTTAGTCCCTAGTCCAAAACAAGCATGCAGCAAGTAAAGCTGCAACTCCTATTCTGCATAAACCATTGTAGGTCCTTGATTTAGAAAGTATGAAAGCCAGAGGATCAGCATGACAGCCAGGCTGTCAACAGTTTCAAAAAGAGAGGTCCGCATTGGCTTCCTGCATATTTGTCTCAATACAGGTTTCCTCTAAAGGAAACTTACCACGAGGGAAACATGAAGGCTTCCATTGCTGACCTCTCCTTGTGAAAATACTATTTGCCCAACCATGTTAATGATCTTCAGTATTTTGAATAATTGATCCAGGACTTGTAAATGGGGACTTCTGACTTTCCTAATCTGCATGTTAATTTGGCGCCAGTGACTTGGTACTGAAAGTACGACCATCATCCAAACACATGTACTATTCATGCTGATTGAAATGTGATAGGCGTTGTAGAAGGAGTTGCATTTTTCTTCTAAGGTCTAAAGCTTTTTTTTAACACCAACCATTAAAGTCCCTTCGGTGCAGCTTTCTGACAGTGCATGAATGTTCTGTGATCAAGACTAACCTTCTTTCTATCTTTTAGCAACAGACAAGCTACTCTCTGGAGGTTGAAGTAAAAGATCGGGATGGAGATCCAAATGGAGGTCTCTCTGGAACAGCTAAGGTGAAAATCAAAGTGACGGATGTCAATGACAACATTCCTGTCCTAGAAAGGGAAGAGGTGAGACAAACTTGACTGGTTGAATATTTTGTTTATGGGTTATCCACGAAATCCGTTTTAAATGAACTACAGAAGTACTGCTAATGTAATTGTGATGGGCTTAATGTAAATTGTCTTATCAATGTGTAATAATGTTATGTGCAGGGCTCAAAATTTCCACTCGCCTGCTCGCATTTGGCGAGTGGAAATAAAGTGAGGGCGAACCAGGCACGAGTCCAGTAGCAGATCAAGCTCCATCTGCTCTCTCTTCTCTCCTGCACTTTCAGTTTCCTCCTCCTCTGTCCTCTCACGATCAGCTCCGGCGATCGTGTCTTTGTTTTAAACAGGTGACAGGAGACGTGTCAGTGTATATTAGAAGCCGGCGTCTCCTGTCACCATAAATACCCGCTTTCTACTGCGCATGTGCAGAAAGGACGGGACCATGAGCTGTAACGTAGTGGCCCATCTAGCTATAGGCGTCCATGTTCCCATGGCAGCACAAGTCGGCCTGAACTAACGGCCGGGTGCTGTGATTCTTGCTTTAATCTCCACGCTGCTATTTCCCAGGAGGGGGAGAATGATCTCCAAAGGGTCATGTATGTAATTTGAGCTCTGCAAGCAGGTACTCCAGTCTATTCTTTTGGATAGTTGAAAGAAGTTCCCTTTCATGATTGTTTATGTTTATTATTTTAATTATCTGGCGGGAATGTGACATCATACTGATGTCATAGGAAGTTGGGGGCAGTTCTTTACTGTTTTTCTCTATTTTGTGATTAGGTTTTTCTGTATAAAGTGTTGCTGGGAGTTGTAGTCCTCTATAGCTGGTGCCATTCTGCATTTTTGGATAAAGTGTTGCTGGGAGCTGTAGTCCTCTATAGCTGCTATCATTCTGCATTTCTATATAAAGTGTAGCTGGAAGTTGTAGTCCTCTATAGCCGCTATCATTCTGCATTTCTTTATAAAGTGTAGCTGGGAGTTGTAGTCCTCTATAGACGCTATCATTCTGCATTTCTATATAAAGTGTAGCTGGGAGTTGTAGTCCTCTATAACTGGTACAATTCTGCATTTTTGGATAAAGTGTTCCTGAGAGTTGTAGTCCTCTATAGCCGACATCATTCTGCATTTATGGATAAAGTGTAGCTGGGAGTTATAGTCCTCTATAACTGGTGCTATTCTGCATTTTTGGATACATTTTCCTTTTATGTTTACATTTGCTTTATGGCAATATTGTAAAAGTTGTTAATATTTATTTTTGGAACTTTTTTCTGAATAAAACATTTTAACAGTGTAATTTCATAAGATAATTTAAGAGGGTGTGTTTAGGGGCAGAGTTAAGGCCAGGGCAGGGTAGGGGTTAGATGGGGCAACTGGTGGCGAGTAACCTTTAAGGCCTGGCTAGTAGCTCAGGACTTGAAATTTTGAGCCCTGGTTATGTGTATTGTTGGATTCTACCATTTTGAATATGTTCGGTTGTTCACTGGAAAGATTATAATCCAATTTCCTTTTTTGTTTTACTTTTGTATTTCAGTACTCGGGAGAAGTTGAAGAAAATGTTGAGGGTGTTGAAATATTGCGTATGAAAGCGTTTGATAACGATGAAGAGTTTACAGATAACTGGTTTGCTAACTTTACTATAATATCAGGCAATGAAGGTGGCCACTTTCAAATAATAACCGATGAACAAACAAATGAAGGTGTGCTTATGTTAGTGAAGGTAAGGAAACTGAATACAATAAGCAAAGATCACTGGATGTTAAAGACAGCTAATATTTCAATTTCACTTGTTTATTGGCCATTTGAATCGTACGCTTGGGGTTTCCAGGGTCAGGGTACAGGCCAAAGATCTCCAGGTTACTAAGCCAAATAATGGCACACTTCCCAAACCAACTCTCCGTAATGATGGCGAAACAGACTTTGTAGGAGGATCAGAGGGCACACAGTACTGTGGGGGAAATCTGGCAATTGAAGTCTCAGAGATGGCGCTTAAAGAGGAACTTTACCCAGATCTTTAAAATAACAACCAACACATCTTTTAGAAATGTTTAGTAATGGAAATCTACAAACACATACATACATATAGATAATTGGAGGCTTTGTATTCTTTGCCTACCTTACTTACTTGACAGTGGCCATGTTTACTAAGGACAGATTACTATCTCCATTTACTTCCTGGAACTCTGGCACTTGTGGCTAGACATGTGACCATGCACATCATCTAAGGAGAGGAAAATGACTTTTCCTGAGATCTCATGAGATTACAGATGACATTTCCTAGCAGTGCTGTGCTGATGTAAACTTCCCAGGATGCGGCACTTTAATCATTTTGTGCCAGAACTGGACCAGGAAGTAGATTAACTCTTTGTAAGTAAATGAAAAACAAGTTTAACGAATGTGATGATTTTAAATCCGCATGCAGAGATTCATGCTGGTGTGATTTTTAGATTAAAGGGGGTAAAGGTCCACTTTAAGAAGGTGGCTGATCGATCACCAATGGGGCTGATGTATAATTGTTTCACCCAGCGTATCGTGAATGGCATTCGCGTTACTAGATGGAGCAGAGGTGCATAGAAAATTCCTAAACTCCTCTGCTCCATCTAGTGTCGAGAAGCTATAGACTGGGTGAAATGTTTATACATCCGCCCCTATGTGTCGAAGGTAGACTTCTCTATCAGTTTTTTGGGTTTTTATTTTTTTGTTAGAAAAGCCTACTGAGTTAAGTTTTGCTGCATACATATAACTAAACGTTGGCAAAAATTGATTTGTCAGTGAACACATTTTGGTGGAACAAAATTTCCAGACCAGAATTCTTAAAGCGCTTCCCCTTTAAATGGACTATGATCCGGTTTTAGCAAGGTTTTTTTTCTTTTTTTTTTTTTTGCTTTGATTTTTTGTACGTTCTTCTCTCCTCTATAAAACTCGAGTGCAAAAGCACTTGAAGCAGGTCTAGTGCAAATCATATGAACCTTTTTATTCCTTAACTGCCTCCTTAGCTCATTCATACCCAGCACAGGTTCCCACTAATGTTGTAATGGGTTTCATGTTTTGACTCCATTTTTTGTCTTGTAAACAAAGCCAGCATCCATATAACTTCTAGTGTCCTAGTCTGTACATTTTTCTTATAATATTACACCTCTATTTTCAGGAGGCGGATTATGAAGTTATGCAGAATGCACAGCTGAGTGTGATTGTCTCAAACCGTGCGGAATATCACAGCTCCATCCAACACCTAATTAGCGGAGGCAGCTCATCTGGTGGAATAATAACAGGAGGAGGTGGAGGTGGAGGTGGAGGTGGTGGAGGGGGAGCAGGAGCAGGAGGAGGAAAAGCTGTTCCTATTAAAGTAAGAGTGAAGAACGTACGGGAGGGACCTGTATTCAAGCCAAGGAAGAAGACGCTTGTTGTGTCTGAAGGAAAGAAAATAATAAACTCCGTAATTGGTTCCTATCAAGCATTTGATTCTGACACTGGAAAAATTGCAGAACACGTTAAGTAAGTCCTCTTTTTCAGCTCTTGATATAATAAACAAGTCCGTTCACTTTCATTAGGACTTCGGTTCCGAAAATGTTATAGATCCCTGGTGCTTCTTTTGGTGTGCTTGCAGGTACAGTTTAAAAATGACAATGAATAAGTAACTCTGGATGAGATTACAGTTTTATCAATTAAAGCAAATTTTACTAACCTCTACTCCAGAATGAAAACTAAACTCTGTGTTTTAAAAACGAGAAAGGTCAAAGGAGTAGTTACCAGTTTTGCCTGCTCTCCCTATAGCTCATCTTTTCTCCATTTACTTACCATACCTTTTTTCTGCAATGTGTTTCTGTGTGGAGGCAGTCATCTTGGTAGAGGTAGGGCTTTGCTTCCTTATGTCAAAGCTTCCAGCAAGGAGAACAGTGAACTGCACAGTAATGACCTCACGAAAGCTCTCTCCAAACGTGGTGAGCCTAGCAGTCGGAGGCATCTGTAAGTTAGATCTCACACTACAGATATACAGCTATGAGGATGTAGACCTAAAAGTGCATAGACATAATCACATACCAGGAAGTGCCCTGGACTGCACTATTATTTTCTGGAGGAACTGCAAACAAAGGGTACATTTTTCAGGACATTGCTTGGGTAGAGTTCTAGAAGTTCCCTGTAACATAGAAAATTGAAACTTTTTGAATTCAGTTACACTTTAAAGCAAACATTTGAAGAAAAAAAAAGACGCACCTTATACCACAGCTTTCTTTTCAAATGAAAGGCACCACATTTCTGCAGCTGTTCTTGTGAGGCTAATAGTGTTTCTGTTCTTGTAAAATTCAAGTAGTTTTTACAACTATGGCATTACTACTGCCCATATGCAAGACATTGCACCACTGCTCACCAAGTGACATGATGTATTTTGTTGTATATTTTACATGAATCAAATTCCTGGCAATAAGAGCATTTAAAAACTTCACTTTGAATTCTCAAGAACCCAAATATGAGTGTATGTCCAGTTTTTTTATTTAATTTTTTATTTTTTTTTATAGAAGAATTGGAAAAGGTTCGAACCCTGACAGGTTTTATTGCTATGTGGGGCTTTGTTGAAGAGATTTCTGTACCTGGTTTCACCAGAATGGAAATGAGAGCAAATTTTCAACAGCAACAGACGCAAACAAAAACTTGTTCTTTTTAGTTCTTTTAGAAAGGATAGAACTCCCATCAACTTTTTTTTATTGTGACATTTGCCCCTGCTTCAGATTTTTCCTCACTTCCTGTCTGGTAAAACCACTACCACTAGGTCATAAATTGAGGGGGTAAATCTCTCTGATAGAGCAAAAGGTAGCAATAAAAACACAAAAGAAAAGATGTCTTGATCCTTCCCTGTATCAAATACTACTTTAAAAAGAAAATGTGGCTAGACATACACTCCTCCTAGATTATTGAACATTTCTGTCACCAGTAAAGACTAACAGACTTTTGCCGCAGCAGACTCCTTAGTGCTCCTTCCCTGGAGCTTGGTGTTCTCTCAGTAATTACAACATCATCCAGTCAGATGTCTAGTGACCTTTGCATGACCGTGGGCATGCATGGCTATGCACCACTTATGGATGCATTCATTTCATTTAAGGTTGGAGAGATTGAGCTGGGAGGACAGGGTTGCCATTTTTATGGTGCCTGGATGTGGATAGTTTTCTTCAAGTGTACATTTAAAGGAGAACTATGGGGTCAGTGTTTTCCCCCATAGTTCTCCTTAGGGTAACGGGAGGACACAAACTAGCGTCCTACCGTTACCCTAAGCTCAGTATACCGCGAGCAACAGCTTGCGGTATACTGAGACGCCGGAGCGGATCCCGACGTAGATGACGGGATCCGCCCAGCTACGTGAGTGACAGCTGGCTCTGCCTATCTAGAGGCAGAGCCAGCTGTACCTGCCCCCTCCCCCGTCCGTTCCGCCAGTCAGCGCTGGCAGATCCGAGAGGGGAATCCAGCCCCTCCCCGTCACGGCAGAGAGCCGTGACATGATCGAGAGGTGAGCGAACCCGGTATGTGTCCGCTCACCTCCCCGATCTACTGAGCCGACCTGTGACAGTCTCATTGTCACAGGTCGGCTAGAACTCACCTCCATAGTTCTCCTTTTAATTTTCACTAATGAGTACAAATAGAGTGTGCACATGAAGATGTATAAACTATGTTCCATATATTGTTTCTAAACAGGTATGCAAAAGAATATGATCCCGATAACTGGTTTACCATTGACCCAGTTACAGCTGAAATCAGACTTACAAAAGAACCTGATCGCGAGTCTCTCTACGTAGTTAATGGCTCTTATGTTGCAAAGATATTGGCAATAAGTGAAGGTAATGCATTTTTTTTTTACATTTCCAGTTTAATTACTGTCTAAATAATAAACAATATTAAATAAACAAAACAGTAGACTGAGAAAAGATTATTGGATATTTTACATTATCTGCACCTGTCTGAAGTGAAAAAATGCATGGCTTGCAAGAGTATCTGCATAGCATCTGTAATCGGTTCATTCTAATCAGTCTGCAAAGTCCTCCGAGAAGCCTTTCTCTGCACTCTGCACTTTCCAGTGTGGGAGGACGTTTGTTAACCTTTTGTAGAAGCTTGGGTGCAGAAAGTGGTATGCCAGGGCTACAAATGAGTTTTTCTCTCTGCCCCCTCTGTTTTCTCACCTCCAACCTTCCTGTGTCACCAAACAAAATAGCAGATCTCCATTAAGCACTCTCGGATCTTCTGGATCAAGGTGTCATTGCCTCAGCTCCAACCTCACGGTTTCGAACCCAAAGGGGGTGTCTGCCCCATGTCAGATCTTCTTCTCTCCCCATATTTTCACTCAGGCTTTTACCAAGGTGTTGGCCCCTGTACTAGTCCTCTTGCATGATCACATTGTGGGATGCTTAGTCGACCTTCCTGTTGAGGAAATAGTCAGTACAGGCTCTGTTGGATGATGTGGCTTTGATGGTCCAGGCGTTACAGAGGTTTGAGTAAATCCGGAACCTTAGAAACCGTTGCTAAAACTGATTCATTGTTTGGGGTATCTTGATTTAGTCCCAGACACAACTCAGGCTAGAGTATTCTTACACCGGAGAAACTTCAGACTCTCAGGTCCCAGATTCAAGCTTCCAGTCCAGGAGTCTGCTTTTGCATGAGATTCTTGGGGCTGTTGGTAGCCTCCTTTTTGATGGTAGTCCCATTTGCCCAGTTTCACCTCAGACGTCTGCATCTCGACATTCTGTTGGCATGGGACAAGTCAGTGAATTCCCTGGATTGATTTGTTTGTTGCCTTGGACCAGGTTGTCCCTGGCTTGGTGGCACAGGAATTTAGCTTTGGAGTTGGGAAGTCTTTCCTTCCCATCTTTTGGAAAATCCTCACAATGGATGTCAGCTATTTGGGCTGGGGAAGAGTCCCTGACACACTGTCAGTGCAGGGAACTTGGTTGTCAGAGGGTCATCCAATCCAGAATCAGTCAGACAACACCACCGTGGCAGTGTTCCCAACTAATGGGGAGTAACAGACATTTTTCTGCAACAAGGGGGGTAGAGCAGATACTGTTCTGGGCAGAACTTCATGTTCCAGTTTTGTTGACCGTGTACAAACCTACAATTGGCAGACAGACTTCCTCAGCTGGCAGCGCCTACACCCGTGGGATTGGTCCATACACCCGGAGGTGTTCCAGGACCACCAGCTGTCACAGTTTCAACACAGACTGCACAGGTTTGTCTCCAGGTACAGGGATCCTCTAGCAGAGGTGGATGCTTTGGTGTCTAATGGGATCTGTACACCTTGATATATGCTTTTTCCTCCCCTAAAACAGTATTGAGATGGAAGGCATTCTGTTGATCCTTACTGCTCTGTACCGGCCAAGGCAAATGTGGTATGCTGACCTGGTAAAACTCCTGGTGGATGCTCCTTGGGTTCTGTCGGCTCTTCTATGCCAAGGACCTATTTACCTATTTGCTTCATAGTCGCTGGCTTTAACAGCATGGCTCTTAAAGCCCAAGTTCTGAGGGACAGCTCTAAACCTGTGATCCCTATGATGCGAAAAGCCAGTAAGTCTCACACCTAGTGAAGAATGTCTTCCATGTCCCATGACAGACCTTGTGGCAGGTATTGTCGGGGCTTTCACCCTAGGATATTCTCTGTGCAACGAATCCTCTCCTTCCTACAGCTGGATCTGGACCAGCATTTGGCTCTCGGCACTATTAAGGGGGGACACGTTTCTTAGGAGTTATTGACTGTTGTGTCTTCCATGTCAGGTTTAATTTTATTGGTAGAGTTGCAGAATAAAAGTGAAAAGGATAGTTCAACCCAAGAACAGAACTTTATTCTATTGCAGCTCACCAGTCCCTAAATGTGGGGAGGGCATTTGTTTTTGGCAAGTACAAAAACAAATCTTGCTGTTTATCTTCCTGTTTATCTTGCCAGAAATGCCATGCCCTTTTCACTTCCTGTTAGCTGAACTTAAGGCAAAAACAAACAATGTCCTCTAACTTCTGTAAACCATTTAATGAAGATGGACAAAAGCTGATACGTTTCTAGTCCAGCCTGGGTGACCACCACGGTTCCCCCAATAAAGACAGTGGAGGGGTGAGAATAGCCATCCATAGACAGGAAATGTTTTATTTGCTAGATTTCCAGATTTAAAAAAAAGGGGGGGGGGGAGCCAGCAAAAAATATAAACTAATGCAGGCACCTCATGTAAGGGCTGATAAACTGCAATATATTCAATTTTTATTTCTTGGTTTAGCTAACTTGATTTTTAATATTGCCCATATATTGTAAGCTCTCATGAGCAGAGCCCTCCTAACCCTCCTGCATTGAAATTGTATTGTAACTGTATTGTATCCCTCCATTTTGTAAAGAGCTGTGCAAACTGTTGCCGCTATATAAATCCTGTATAATAATTTTATGAGAATAAAACATTCTTGCATCAGAGTATATACTATATATTTCTAACATGCCTATTGTTATTTTATTTTTAAGATCTCCCAGGAAAGACTGCCACAGGCACCATCTCTATTGATGTGGAAGATGCCAATGACAATTGTCCAGTTTTAGTGAATGCAGCACAAACAGTTTGTGAGAGCGCACCATTCATCAACCTGACCGCATTGGATAAGGATTCCTATCCTAATAGCACTCCACTAAAATTTACAGTGCTGGATGAACCAGCTGGCAATTCACAGCAATGGTCAATTGGAAAAACCGAAAGTAAGAAAGATATATATTTTTTTTTTTTTCTCTAATGCCATATGTGATGCTACCATCATATAACATGTACACACAGATGGTACTGCTGTGTACAATACTAGATAATGGTAAGAACTGATCACTCCGGAGACCTAGTCGGCTGTACTTCTACAGATTAACACGTGAGCTGACCTGTAATCATTCTGCCCTACCTGCTCCACATTCAAGACCTGTTCTCGCCTATAAATATTTGCTATAAACCCTCATCGCTACACAAAATACACTTTTTGTGATGCTTAAACTTTGTTTTACATGAGACTGACAATTTACGGAAAGACAGCGTAAGTTTCAGACAGACTCCAAGGACTGCTTTAATAACGGTGTCAGAAACTGATGATGTAGTCTCTCTGAATGCCATACCTCCTGGTATTCTCTTTACAGGAAGCAGAGTTCACTGAGATTGCCAAGTGCTTAAGACACTGTACCATACAGAAAGACTACTTTTGGTATACAGAGGCTAATTCAACAGGGGGGCTGATGAGATTGAGATATGGAGAGAGTGCCATGGCACTCAATATAGGAGACTGTATATTCAAACACAGCATGCTGTCAGGATTCTGTCATTTACCTGACACTGTACCTTTTTTTAATCTGTATTTTATGATGGGGACCTCTGTAAATCTGTTATGCAAGTGGATCACCATATTACATATGCTTATTTTTTTTTAAGATTCTTTACTGCGAATGGCCAGAAAAAAGGGGAAATATGTGATACAAATTTATACTTCTTCTTTGATGTGTGTTTTTTTTTTTTTTTAATCTGATCTTTCTTTTCTTCTTGATCCTAGGTAGCAGTGCACAACTGATACCAAAAACCATTTGGGTAGGATCACATCAAGTTACTCTTCTTATAACAGACAATCAAGGCCTGAGCTGTGCAGAAAAGCAGGTCCTGAAACTCCAAGTGTGTAGCTGTCAGAGTGGTGTTCCGGCCTGCTCAGAGAGACTATCCAACACGTCTGTAGGTCTGGGAGGTGGAGCCGTTGCACTCATCATTCTTGCATGTTTGCTACTACTATGTGAGTACTCAATAACCTGAAAACTTTTCAAAGTA